ACCAACAAAGTTTAGTGACACTGTTCCTTATCAAGAGTACCAACAAAGTTTAGTGACACTGTTCCTTATCAAGAGTACCAACAAAGTTTAGTGACATTGTTCCTTATCAAGAGTACCAACAAAGTTTAGTGACATTGTTCCTTATCAAGAGTACCAACAAAGTTTAGTGACACTGTTCCTTATCAAGAGTACCAACAAAGTTTAGTGACATTGTTCCTTATCAAGAGTACCAACAAAGTTTAGTGACACTGTTCCTTATCAAGAGTACCAACAAAGTTTAGTGACACTGTTCCTTATCAAGAGTACCAACAAAGTTTAGTGACATTGTTCCTTATCAAGAGTACCAACAAAGTTTAGTGACATTGTTCCTTATCAAGAGTACCAACAAAGTTTAGTGACACTGTTCCTTATCAAGAGTACCAACAAAGTTTAGTGACATTGTTCCTTATCAAGAGTACCAACAAAGTTTAGTGACATTGTTCCTTATCAAGAGTACCAACAAAGTTTAGTGACATTGTTCCTTATCAAGAGTACCAACAAAGTTTAGTGACATTGTTCCTTATCAAGAGTACCAACAAAGTTTAGTGACACTGTTCCTTATCAAGAGTACCAACAAAGTTTAGTGACATTGTTCCTTATCAAGAGTACCAACAAAGTTTAGTGACACTGTTCCTTATCAAGAGTACCAACAAAGTTTAGTGACACTGTTCCTTATCAAGAGTACCAACAAAGTTTAGTGACATTGTTCCTTATCAAGAGTACCAACAAAGTTTAGTGACACTGTTCCTTATCAAGAGTACCAACAAAGTTTAGTGACACTGTTCCTTATCAAGAGTACCAACAAAGTTTAGTGACATTGTTCCTTATCAAGAGTACCAACAAAGTTTAGTGACATTGTTCCTTATCAAGAGTACCAACAAAGTTTAGTGACACTGTTCCTTATCAAGAGTACCAACAAAGTTTAGTGACATTGTTCCTTATCAAGAGTACCAACAAAGTTTAGTGACACTGTTCCTTATCAAGAGTACCAACAAAGTTTAGTGACACTGTTCCTTATCAAGAGTACCAACAAAGTTTAGTGACATTGTTCCTTATCAAGAGTACCAACAAAGTTTAGTGACATTGTTCCTTATCAAGAGTACCAACAAAGTTTAGTGACACTGTTCCTTATCAAGAGTACCAACAAAGTTTAGTGACATTGTTCCTTATCAAGAGTACCAACAAAGTTTAGTGACATTGTTCCTTATCAAGAGTACCAACAAAGTTTAGTGACACTGTTCCTTATCAAGAGTACCAACAAAGTTTAGTGACACTGTTCCTTATCAAGAGTACCAACAAAGTTTAGTGACACTGTTCCTTATCAAGAGTACCAACAAAGTTTAGTGACATTGTTCCTTATCAAGAGTACCAACAAAGTTTAGTGACACTGTTCCTTATCAAGAGTACCAACAAAGTTTAGTGACATTGTTCCTTATCAAGAGTACCAACAAAGTTTAGTGACACTGTTCCTTATCAAGAGTACCAACAAAGTTTAGTGACACTGTTCCTTATCAAGAGTACCAACAAAGTTTAGTGACATTGTTCCTTATCAAGAGTACCAACAAAGTTTAGTGACACTGTTCCTTATCAAGAGTACCAACAAAGTTTAGTGACACTGTTCCTTATCAAGAGTACCAACAAAGTTTAGTGACACTGTTCCTTATCAAGAGTACCAACAAAGTTTAGTGACACTGTTCCTTATCAAGAGTACCAACAAAGTTTAGTGACACTGTTCCTTATCAAGAGTACCAACAAAGTTTAGTGACACTGTTCCTTATCAAGAGTACCAACAAAGTTTAGTGACACTGTTCCTTATCAAGAGTACCAACAAAGTTTAGTGACACTGTTCCTTATCAAGAGTACCAACAAAGTTTAGTGACACTGTTCCTTATCAAGAGTACCAACAAAGTTTAGTGACATTGTTCCTTATCAAGAGTACCAAAAGTTTAAAGTTTAGTGACATTGTTCCTTATCAAGAGTACCACCAACAAAGTTTAGTGACACTGTTCCTTATCAAGAGTACCAACAAAGTTTAGTGACATTGTTCCTTATCAAGAGTACCAACAAAGTTTAGTGACATTGTTCCTTATCAAGAGTACCAACAAAGTTTAGTGACATTGTTCCTTATCAAGAGTACCAACAAAGTTTAGTGACACTGTTCCTTATCAAGAGTACCAACAAAGTTTAGTGACACTGTTCCTTATCAAGAGTACCAACAAAGTTTAGTGACACTGTTCCTTATCAAGAGTACCAACAAAGTTTAGTGACATTGTTCCTTATCAAGAGTACCAACAAAGTTTAGTGACATTGTTCCTTATCAAGAGTACCAACAAAGTTTTAGTGACATTGTTCCTTATCAAGAGTACCAACAAAGTTTAGTGACATTGTTCCTTATCAAGAGTACCAACAAAGTTTAGTGACATTGTTCCTTATCAAGAGTACCAACAAAGTTTAGTGACATTGTTCCTTATCAAGAGTACCAACAAAGTTTAGTGACATTGTTCCTTATCAAGAGTACCAACAAAGTTTAGTGACATTGTTCCTTATCAAGAGTACCAACAAAGTTTAGTGACATTGTTCCTTATCAAGAGTACCAACAAAGTTTAGTGACATTGTTCCTTATCAAGAGTACCAACAAAGTTTAGTGACATTGTTCCTTATCAAGAGTACCAACAAAGTTTAGTGACATTGTTCCTTATCAAGAGTACCAACAAAGTTTAGTGACATTGTTCCTTATCAAGAGTACCAACAAAGTTTAGTGACATTGTTCCTTATCAAGAGTACCAACAAAGTTTAGTGACACTGTTCCTTATCAAGAGTACCAACAAAGTTTAGTGACACTGTTCCTTATCAAGAGTACCAACAAAGTTTAGTGACACTGTTCCTTATCAAGAGTACCAACAAAGTTTAGTGACATTGTTCCTTATCAAGAGTACCAACAAAGTTTAGTGACACTGTTCCTTATCAAGAGTACCAACAAAGTTTAGTGACATTGTTCCTTATCAAGAGTACCAACAAAGTTTAGTGACACTGTTCCTTATCAAGAGTACCAACAAAGTTTAGTGACACTGTTCCTTATCAAGAGTACCAACAAAGTTTAGTGACATTGTTCCTTATCAAGAGTACCAACAAAGTTTAGTGACACTGTTCCTTATCAAGAGTACCAACAAAGTTTAGTGACACTGTTCCTTATCAAGAGTACCAACAAAGTTTAGTGACACTGTTCCTTATCAAGAGTACCAACAAAGTTTAGTGACACTGTTCCTTATCAAGAGTACCAACAAAGTTTAGTGACACTGTTCCTTATCAAGAGTACCAACAAAGTTTAGTGACACTGTTCCTTATCAAGAGTACCAACAAAGTTTAGTGACACTGTTCCTTATCAAGAGTACCAACAAAGTTTAGTGACACTGTTCCTTATCAAGAGTACCAACAAAGTTTAGTGACACTGTTCCTTATCAAGAGTACCAACAAAGTTTAGTGACATTGTTCCTTATCAAGAGTACCAACAAAGTTTAGTGACATTGTTCCTTATCAAGAGTACCAACAAAGTTTAGTGACACTGTTCCTTATCAAGAGTACCAACAAAGTTTAGTGACATTGTTCCTTATCAAGAGTACCAACAAAGTTTAGTGACATTGTTCCTTATCAAGAGTACCAACAAAGTTTAGTGACATTGTTCCTTATCAAGAGTACCAACAAAGTTTAGTGACACTGTTCCTTATCAAGAGTACCAACAAAGTTTAGTGACACTGTTCCTTATCAAGAGTACCAACAAAGTTTAGTGACACTGTTCCTTATCAAGAGTACCAACAAAGTTTAGTGACATTGTTCCTTATCAAGAGTACCAACAAAGTTTAGTGACATTGTTCCTTATCAAGAGTACCAACAAAGTTTAGTGACATTGTTCCTTATCAAGAGTACCAACAAAGTTTAGTGACATTTTTCCTCATCAAGAGTACCAACAAAGTTTAGTGACATTGTTCCTTATCAAGAGTACCAACAAAGTTTAGTGACATTGTTCCTTATCAAGAGTACCAACAAAGTTTAGTGACATTGTTCCTTATCAAGAGTACCAACAAAGTTTAGTGACATTGTTCCTTATCAAGAGTACCAACAAAGGAAGCAGGTGCAGTTAGTTTGGTTATGAATGGACAGACTAAATGTTATTCATATGTTATCTATATTTACTAGCTATGTTTTCTTGTATGTGATGTGACAGTCCAATATCTTATTCATATGTTGTCTAAATTTACCAGCTATGTTTTCTTGTATGTGATGTGACAGTCCAATATCTTATTCATATGTTGTCTATATTTACCAGCTATGTTTTCTTGTATGTGATGTGACAGTCCAATATCTTATTCATATGTTGTCTATATTTACTAGCTATGTTCTCTTGTATGTGATGTGACAGTCCAATATCTTATTCATATGTTATCTATATTTACTAGCTATGTTTTCTTGTATGTGATGTGACAGTCCAATATCTTATTCATATGTTGTCTAAATTTACCAGCTATGTTTTCTTGTATGTGATGTGACAGTCCAATATCTTATTCATATGTTGTCTATATTTACCAGCTATGTTTTCTTGTATGTGATGTGACAGTCCAATATCTTATTCATATGTTGTCTATATTTACTAGCTATGTTCTCTTGTATGTGATGTGACAGTCCAATATCTTATTCAAATGTAAACATTCTTAAACTGTTGTCTGAAGAGCACAGTGCAGGCATACTACATGCGGGGCAGACAATAAACATCTGATCTAGTCAAGATTCAAACACAGACCACAGACAAAACATGCAGAAAGAAAAAAAAACTCAACACAACACTTCAAACTGGTTCCAAGCACCAATCTGGATTCAAGAAAAGAGGTGGAAGATCAATGATAAAACAACACCAGTTAAAAAAACAAAAAAAAACTGCTCCAACAAAAGCAAGGGAGAAGACTCACTTTTTGGAGGTGGGCCAGCATCAGAGGGCTGGGCTGCTGAAGTTTGTGCTGGAGGATTTGAGGATTCAAAGGGATTGTCACTGCTACTGAAGCTGCTTCCCAGGTTGAGAGAATGACGCTTCTGCTCTGGGCTTGAGCTTGGCTTGAGAACACCTAGAACACACACAAAACCTGAGATAAGGCGGCAGTTCATCAGTCAGTCAGTCCATCCATCAGCCAAACTTGTTCTTTGACTTGTTCACAATCTTTCCTGTTCTTCTGCTTGGTCACTTTCTGCTGCCTGGGTGTGGATGGGGGGAGAGTTTGGAGCTCTCCCATTTTTCAATTGCTTTGCAAGAAAATATATTAGATAGAGCTTCTTCTTCGAGTCCATGATGTGGGGTATTGGTAGTCATGACTCTCCACAGCCTTCTGTCTGGTGTACTTGTGGATAGCGCTATCAACATGAAATCCAATTGTCACTCATTTCTGTCACTGAGACCATTATAAGTGAAGAGACTTGTTGAAGCAGCTGCTGGAATATGGCTAAGTTATCCTTGCCACCTGCAAGTGAATAGCTTCCACCCTTTTAAGGGAAGTCTTCTAGGCGATACAATGTTGGCAATACACCTTGTCTTTTGCAAGTAACATTCATCTTGTCCAACTAAACAAAAAACCTGGCAGTAAACAACATGTTCCTGTTTCTGCTCTGAGGTCGAGCGTGAGAACTCTCTCTCCAACAGACATTTGTTTTCACAAACCTTCAGTTACAATCTGGCAAACTGTCTCTTGACTACTATTTAAACAAATAATGAGGTACAAAGGTCATAGGGTAACCTGGGGTTACTGCTGTGTTGGAGGTCCGAGAACACATGGGAATATCCAGTGTCAGACAAAATTTCCAGTGTGAAACACATGTCCACTTACTTCTCAAAGTGGATGTATGAGAAACATAAGTTCACACTCATCTTTCACACTGGACATGTGACAAACAAGTTCACACTCGCCTTTCACACTGGACATGTCACAAATATAAGTTCACACTCACCTATCACACCGGACATGTGACAAATATAAGTTCACACTCACCTATCACACTGGACTTGTGACAAACACAAGTTCACAATCTGTTCAAAATGGACGCTTAACACAGTCACTGTTGTGAGCCGTGGCAAATTTGTTTGCTTCTGCCAGACGGTGGCCGGTGCATTTTTGCTCCATTTGTAGACTGGAAGAATAGTTTCATCGACCAGCTTCTGAGTTTAGTGCACGGCATAACACTGAGGTGCGGATTTCATTTGGAATGTTTTTTTGACTGTGACCAACGTGGTGTTGTGAATTGTAGATTCAGAAAATGGGGCGATGCCTACAGTCACAATACTGGTAGTGCCATTGTGTGATTACAATGGATCGCATGTGCAACTGCTGATCTGTTGGTGACTTCTGCTACCATCCATGATGAATTGCATTTCTTATGTCGGACCATCTGTGTTAGCATTTTGGATGGCTATCGTACTCTTTTAATGCGTGTGTATGCTAGTGCATATGCCAAGATAGCAGTCTGTCAATCTTTCCACAAGGGACTGTGATAAAAATTATGTGTGTTTTTCGTTGGCACAGGAGTGGAGCAACTATGGGGTGACCCGTTTGCTATGAAGCTGAAACTAAGACTACCAGATTACCAGATGTGACAAATATAAGTTCACACTCGCCAATCACACTGGACTTGTGAGAAATATATTTCCACACTCACCTCTCAAACAGGACTTGTGGCAGACAGCACTCACCTATCAAACTGGACTTGTGACAGATAGCACTCACCTCTCAAACTGGACTTGTGACAGACAGCACTCACCTCTCAAACTGGACTTGTGGCAGACAGCACCTACCTCTCAAACTGGACTTGTGGCAGACAGCACCTACCTCTCAAACTGGACCTGTGGCAGACAGCACCTACCTCTCAAACTGGACTTGTGGCAGACAGCACCTACCTCTCAAACTGGACCTGTGGCAGACAGCACCTACCTCTCAAACTGGACCTGTGGCACACAGCACTCACCTCTCAAACTGGACTTGTGGCAGACAGCACCTACCTCTCAAACTGGACTTGTGACAGACAGCACTCACCTCTCAAACTGGACTTTTTCTTGACTTTTTTGTTTGGCAAGCCGGTGACATCCCAGGAAGTCATCTTGGTCAAACTGTCGAGGAAATCCTCCAGCTTCAGCAGGGATATAGCAATGTGTCTCAGGGAAACCATACAGTCCTTGGGGAATGCCATGCTGGACTGTTTCTGTCCGGGAATACAACATGAAGGCTTTCACACAGTGCCGCTAACTTACACATGGGTCACAGTAGAAACATTGGCAGTATTCAGCACAGACATTTAGACTTCCTTTACAACAACTAACTTATCCTTGTCCTAATCAACTAACACAGACAGTTAGACTTCCTTTACAACAACTAACTTATCCTTGTCCTAATCAACTAACACAGACATTTAGACTTCCTTTACAACAACTAACTTATCCTTGTCCTAATCAACTAACACAGACATTTAGACTTCCTTTACAACAACTAGCTTATCCTTGTTCTAATCAACTAACACAGACATTTAGACTTCCTTTACAACAACTAACTTATCCTTGTCCTAATCAACTCAGGTTAACATTATTCAATGTCAGAATTACCAGCAGACTCTTAACAACTGCATCAGCAATGTTACAGCCATTTTTATGAGTCACTGACATTAGGACCACCTGTGTCCATCAAATCAGAGAGCAAACATTTCACCTGTAATTCTGAGCTCAGCTTCTATTGGAAGGACAAGGTAAGCAACAGCTACATACTCACACACTGTGGTTAATGATTCTGAGCCTCAGCTTCTATTGGAAGGACAAGGTAAGCAACAGCTACATACTCACACACTGTGGTTAATGATTCTGTGCCTCAGCTTGTATTGGAAGGCTGCCTTGACTGTGCAAAATGCAAAGGTTTGGTTAGGTAGACTACATGTCACTTAAACATATTTCAACCCAGATTCTCTATGCCCAGCTGGCATACAGTCACAGATACGAGTGAAAGAGAGAATCAGGCAAACACACTGAACATACACACAACTACCTGGACAGAAAAGGCTTATAGCTGTACCACAAGGAGGTCATGTGTAATGAATGACTGAAAATTCACTGATGCAGAGATGAATTAACAAAGGAGGAAAAATTTGTCCAGCTGACTATAGCAGAATGTGTAGCTGCAGACCTCCTGCTCCAAAAGTACATCAACTCTAGATAGATCTGGCTTGTACTGACTTATCCATGAACAATGAATCAAACCATCAACTCTAGATAGATCTGGCTTGTATTGACTTATCCATGAACAATGAATCAAACCATCAACTCTAAAAAGATCTGGCTTGTATTGACTTATCCATGAACAATGAATCAAACCATCAACTCTAGTTAGATTTGGCTTGTACTGAGTATCCATGAACAATGAATCAAACCATCAACTCTAGATAGATCTGGCTTGTACTGACTTATCCATGAACAATGAATCAAACCATCCACTCTAGATAGATCTGGATTGTACTGACTTATCCATGAACAATGAATCAAACCATCAACTCTAGATAGATCTGGCTTGTATTGACTTATCCATGAACAATGAATCAGAAGATCAACTCATAGATATATCTGGCTTGTACTGACTTATCCATGAACAATAAATCAAACCATCAACTCTAGACATATCTGGCTTGTACTGACTTATCCATGAACAATGAATCAAACCATCAACTCTAGATAGATCTGGTTTGTACTGACATCCATGAACAATGAATCAAACCATCAACTCTAGATAGATCTGGATTGTACTGACTTATCCATGAACAATGAATCAAACCATCAACTCTAGATAGATCTGGCTTGTACTGAGTATCCATGAACAATGAATCAAACCATCAACTCATAGATAGATCTGGCTTGTATTGTCTTATCCATGAACAATGAATCAAACCATCAACTCATAGATAGATCTGG